TGTGCAAAAAAACAATGACAGTGATGTAACACACACAGCTGGTCGTCTGTACTTCAGCCCATGGCGGACACCACGGCGTCACACAGGACGTGCAGTCTGCTCTGCAGCTCGCCGCTCTCTGACCTCAGCAGCTCACAAACTGCTGCGGCCGCTCGCTGTGCGCAAAACCTCTCGCCCACCAGCACGCCGCTCAGCTCGCCGCTCAGCCGCCGCGGCAGCCAGTCTGCGGGAACGTCCAGTTCACAGCTCTCCATCACGCCGTTCTTCACCTCCACGTGCAGCTGGGCGGAGCTGCGAGCGCCGTCAGTGTCTGTCAGCTCCAGGACGGTCTGGACGCTGAATTTTGGCGTTCTGCCGAACGTCCAGTCCCAGCTGCGCAGCTCCGCCGCCGCCCTGCTGATACCAGGAAACGCTGACTCGTCAGCCGGGTCCACGAGCGTGGAGGCGGCGTGGAGGCCGAACTCTGAGGGTCAGATGAGGTCACAGAGTGGTGATGTCACAGCTGCTCTTTAAATATGTCCACAACTTTATTTACAACACAAAGGACAACAGTTTCCATAGTAACAGCAGCAGGTGTTTGTTGTCTGAACTTTAAACAATCCGTCCTGAAGTTATTTATTTATGTGTGTGTGTGTCTCAGTCGGTCGTCATGGTGACGGTGGTTATTATGTTATTATTATTATTGACCCTGCAGTCAGTCATCATGTTGCCGTGGTAACCAGGTGTGTCCAGCAGAGTACCTGTGTTGTACTGGTGCACCAGTGCGTCCAGAAGCTCCTCCCAGTGCAGCGTGGGGGCGTGGTCCTGCAGGTTGGCGACAGGCGAGGGGACGCTGGGCGTGGCGTTGCTGTGGATACCGGGGCAGGAGGGGCGGAGCACGGCGGCGAGGGCAGAGCGGTTGGCAGAGTGCAGCAGCGTGCAGTGATGGTAGGATGACTTCCTGCTCAGCCTGGACGCACTTCCTGTAAACATCAAAAACATGTTTCCCTTGCAGTGCACTCTGGGATACGTGGCGGGCGTCATCCATCCCTACCTGAGATCTTGAAGTGTCCGTTGAGTACGATGTCCAATCTGTCGGTGGCGTGGACGTCCAGTTCCGGCCTGACGCGCCTCAGAGCCTCGGTGACAACCCTCAGTTTCCTCTTGCGGTCGTATGCCTTTTTGGACGTGAAGAACGTCAGGTTGAGGTTCCCGAGGTCGTGGAAAACGGTCCCGCCGCCGCTCCGTCTGCGGGCCAAAGGGATCCCCGCCCTCCTCATGGCCGGCAGGTTGCACTCGGTCCAGGGGTTCTGGTGGCGTCCGATGACCACAGATGGCCGGTTCCTCCACAGCAGCAGGACGCCGCTGCGCTGTAGGTCCACGTTGGCGTCAATCCAGTCCTCCAGAGCCAGGTTCTGGTACACATCTGTGGACCGGGAGCGAAGGACGAGTCCCGCCAAGCTGCCATCAGACGCCACGGACGGGCTGCTGCTGGAGGACGAGCATGTCCTGCACACACCTGAGCAGCTTCTCACAAGAGACAGTGTCCTCCTGCTGTGAGACAGCATGGCGTCCGTCACACTGCGTCTTCACCTCCACATGTCGGACACGTCTGTAACCACACGAAAACGTTAATGTCTCCGCATGTCGGACACGTCTGTGACCACACGAAGACGTTAATGTCTCCACGTGTTGGACACGTCTCTGACCACACGAAGACGTTAACGTCTCCGCATGTCGGACATGTCTGTGACCACACGAAGACGTTAATGTCTCCACGTGTTGGACACGTCTCTGACCACACGAAAACGTTAACGTCTCCACATGTCAGACATGTCTCTGACCACACGAAGACGTTAATGTCTCCACGTGTTGGACACGTCTCTGACCACACGAAGACGTTAATGTCTCCACGTGTCAGACATGTCTGTGACCACACGAAGACGTTAATGTCTCCACGTGTTGGACACGTCTCTGACCACACGAAGACGTTAACGTCTCCGCATGTCAGACACGTCTGTGACCACACGAAGACGTTAACGTCTCCACATGTCAGATATGTCTCTGACCACACGAAGACGTTAATGTCTCTACATGTCGGACACGTCTCTGACCACACGAAGACGTTAACGTCTCCACATGTCAGACACGTCTCTGACCACACGAAGACGTTAACGTTTTACTCACAGCTGAGAACATGTAGGAAATAACACTATCTATAACGTGTGTTTCCATCCAGCCTGAAATAGAGACATCGCCCTCAAACTTACCCCAAAATGATTTTTAAATCTTCAGCACTGTGTGGCGTTCATGTCTGACTGAAGAACCTGGACACAGACCTTGTCCTCAGCGTGTCTTCAGCGTGTCCTCACAGTGTCCTTAGCGTGTCCTCAGCGTGTCCTCACAGTGTCCTTAGCGTGTCCTCAGCGTGTCTGTGTGGGAACATAAATACATAAACACATATGTGAGTCATCAAGAGATGAACTAATGTGTGTAACTTTATGTTTTAATTCATAATTATAAGAGGGACGACCCGTGTTTTGTTTCTGTTTTAAGGTTTACTGTGATCATTAAAATCAAATTAATAAGTTATGTGTGATAAGACAAAGAATTAAATTAAAGTTATTTTCATCAGTTAGTTTTAATTTAAATTAATTATAAAATCTAACTGAACTCGGAAAATTAAAGGGTTCACTTTTTATTAACTCATTACTTTTAATAACGCCCCCTCAGTGTGAATGAATGACGACATCCTGTCTGTTAGCATTAGCATGTAGCTCCTCCGGAAACGCCGCTGTCGTCACCGAACACCGGATTAACACGTCAATTCTCCTGATGTGAACAAACCGCCGGTGATCAACCGGTTAATCGCGTTTCATTGAAATAAACCTGAGGTCATTTTGTCTCGTGCTGACCTGAACCGAAGAGACACCGGACGGAGACGAACCGCGACGGACTACTTCCGGTGTCACACTTCCGCTCCCAAACTTCACAATAAAAGCAACACGGAACGAACTACCATAGTTAACTTTGAAATGAAGACAAAATAACGTTATTATGTCTAAATTGTGCTTATTTATTTATATCTTTATTTATTTTTGACTTTATTTCCTCTGAAATCTTTTTATTTTTCCGGGTTTTTTTCTACTCAGTTTCAAACACTTGTACTTTGAAAATATGACTATTATTCAATAAAGTTTATTTAAAAAAATCAAAAGCAACCAGCATGAGTTTATATTCTATATATCTGTATAGATACACGTACAATTGTTTTATTTTTTCATTTATTTAAATATGTATCTATTCTAATTTATTGTAAATTAAGTCTCGCTGCTTTAAATTTGTTTTAAATCTGTTCATATTGTTTCTATTTTCCTATGAGATGTTGAACTGTTTTAAATAAAGTTAAAGAACAAATGAAAATAATCAATAAACAAATAAAATCTAACTGTGAAATGACGATAAAATTAAATTAAAATACATAAAAAAACCTAATAAAATGAAATGGAATTAAGGTAAAATATTATGGCAATAACATAACAATACAGAATAAATACAATGAAATAAAATTAAATTAAAAATAAATGAAATATGAAATGAAATAACATGAAGTTAATTAAAATATAT